TTTTCCTTTTACTCTTTTGGTTTCCACTAATGATGTTTGAAACTTCATTACGATTCACTATTCATTTTTCTATTCCTTCCCGATAATTATTTATTAGAAATTTATAGAAAATAATAAGTACTATATAAATATTACTACAACAAAAATAAAAAAATTGGAATTCAGCATAAAAGTCCTGTTAGTTTCTCAAAACGAAAAGGAAAAACCATCAACTCTTTTCCGTTAATTACAGATGGCGAGGTTGCATTTCAATACCAATAAATCTGCAAATCAAATCTTTGAAGAAAGAGTTAAGAACATGGAAAATTCGTCTATCAAATCCACTACCATATTCAAAGTAAATGTTGCGTTACGTGAATCAAATCCAGATGCTTATACCCCAAAGGTGATCTCCATTGGTCCTTACCATAACAAAATTCCTCAACTTGGCTCAATGGAAAAATACAAAATGTTGTACCTACAACGGTTTCTCAAACGGAAAAATGAGATTGATGTGAAAAGTTGCATTAGTGAAATTGAGAAATTAAAAGATGAAGCACTAAAGTGTTACGATGATAACCTTGACAGTGACATTGTTGTCAAATTTTCACAAATGTTGTTGCTTGATGGCTGTTTTATAGTTGAGTTTATTCGAGAGCGTTGTGGAAGGAAGCCAAGAGAAGAAGACGAAATCATCAACAGGGAATGGATGATGTTACAAGTATGTCGAGACATGTTATTACTAGAAAACCAACTACCTTATTTTGTCCTCACCGTGTTACATGAAATGACTAAGTATCCTACAGAACCAAACTTGATAAAGATGGTGAAATCTACATTCGATGATCGTTTCCCAAATAAGTATCCCGAAATAATTGATGGCATTGCGCCTCAACAACCAGACCATTTACTTCATGTGTTACATATGTTGTCTCGCCCATCAAAAATGCAAAATAATACTAGCGAAACCACGAATGGTAGCACCCGAAAGGAATGTTGTAATAAAAGTTTTTTGGGGAAATTTATTCAAAAAGAAATGCCCGACGAAGTTAGTGGTTGGGAATGCTGCCAAATTCCAAGTGCAACTGAACTTTATGAAGCTGGAGTCAATTTCAAAAAAATAGGAGCTTTGGGAGAGGATATTAAGGATAAAACAACTTTATTTGATATCGAGTTTAAACATGGATTGTTTGAAATCCCTTGTTTTGCAGTTGAAGATACATTGGAACCTTTCTTGAGAAATATGATAGCTTATGAGCAGCACTCGTCTAGGTTACATCTTAAATATTATACGGATTATGGTTGGATAATGAGTCAACTTATTGTCTCACATAAAGATGTGAATCTTCTTCGCCAAAACGGAATCATATTTAACGAGATAGGAGATGACAAACAAGTGGCTACCATCTTCAACAAACTGACACAAGGGGTCACTACTTCTATTGACTTCTACTGCAGTGAAGAATGCAGCAAAATAATTCAACATTGTGAAAACCCATGGAATCAAATGATGGCAAAATTGAGGCACAATTACTTTCAGAGTCCTTGGGCTGGAGCTTCAACTGTTGCAGCAATCGTGCTCCTCTTACTCACAGTTACACAGACAGTTCTATCTCTCATAAGTGCTCTTAAGTAATAAGAAAAAGGGCAGCCCAATGTACAAAGTATCCCGTATTCACGCAGGGTCCAGCAAAGGGTTGCGCCCCAAAAGGTGTGACCGTAGACAGCCTACTCTAATAAGTGTTCTGAAATAGTTGCTTTAATTGATTGTATTCTTTAGTAGATTGGTTTTGTTATCCTTCCAGTCTGGTTTTCCTTACTATTATTTGTGTTTTTGACGGTTTTAATATTGTAGCCAATCCAAGTTGCATAATATAAATGTGAGAAACGTGCTCCATCTTTAATAAATGGAACATTTTATTTTCTGGCAATGAAATGATTCAATTTATCAAGTTAGAAAGTCAAGAAATTATTGCATGTGAAGAACTGAATGCGTACATTCCTTCATATGTACGGTTTAAATTTGAAATGTATATAGGTCTTTGTTAGTGTATATATCTCTTTTACCATATTAGCCTAGGAATTATTGTATACTACCCTCCTAAGTAAGGGTACTCTTGTCCTCTATACTTATATACTTTGCTATAAATATAATGGTATAACCCTAGGGAACAACCATGGGGCATTATTCTATCATAGTACACTTGTTCTATATTAATTTTCCGGATTAACTACCACTTTAATCAACCAGCTGACAAATCAGGTCTTATGTTTTAAGCATCCAGGTCTTACGTGAATGGACATGCATGCCAAATATGTCAATTAGGATCTTCATTCACCTTAGTGAAAAATGACAACCCTGTATATTATTCGACTAATAAAGTAGTAGTAGTAGCCTACATTATACTGCAATAATATTGTATTCATACACATCTGAGCTAAATGACTACAGCTTCGTTGCTGCTAAGTTATTTATTGAATAATTCTTTTTCCAGTGATTGTCTAATGGCTGTCAGACGTTTAGAAGAGTACTAATGAGTCAGTAAAATGGTAATGTGGTATTATGTTTCTACTCAAAGTCTGGATAAGCAACTACTACTACTTAGGGGTTATTTTCATGAATGATCACTCAATTTTTACATTATTGCATTAAAGTCAATAAACTATTTTTTTTTAATAAAAACTCATTTAACTTATCAAGCTATCATTTAAACTAAAAAGTCATTAAACTTTACCTAAGCATCACATAAAAACTAGTAATGTCAAAATTATAAAATAGTGTTAATCACCAGTCTACTACTAAAAACTAGTAATGTGAAAGACAACTGTTTCCTTTGCAACCAAAGCCAAGTTTTGTGATAGTTTCGCCATTATATTGAAAACTCATAATGTTAAAAAGCAGTTAATCTGTTGTAAGCAGAGCCTGTTCATATAATAAGATAGTGTCACCACCCATTACAAATAAAAAGTTTTATGTGAAAGGCAACCAGATCCTGTTATGCATTGATAAAACATGGTGACAAAATCTGAGTAGAGATCTAGACTAAATCACAATTGCATGCAATGAAGAAGAAGATCATAGCTGAGGGAATGAGAGAAATGAAGAAGAAGATGAATTCTGTTACACTCCAAAACTAACTCGGTCAGGGCAGAACATATGCCTTCATACAAATTCCCTCACACGAGTCACGTGTGTGATAAGGGTAAAAAGACTAAAATACCCCCATTAACTAACATAACTACCAAGTCTTTAATACACAGTTATCATATACTATATATAAATTATACTTATATTATACATTCGCTAGCTATTTTTAGTTTAAGAGATTAGATGGGCAAGTATTTAAGTTAATACTTGTTGAAAATTTGATATGTGAAAGGCAGCTAGTGCAATGCAATTGGGGCATTTGTATCTATATCCGCTTTTTGGGTCACGTTTTAACTTGTGCCCGCTTTGCAAAAAAAATTGCAAGTATACCCACTTTTTCGCGGTACTTCAGCATACGGGGCTGAAGTAGCAAAGGCAATCACGCAAAACTTCAGCATTCTAGTAGTCGGGCCTGAGGTAGACCAAGTGTGCTGAAGTTTTTGTTTGTAATTGCTGAACTTAAGCATTCTAGTGCTGAAGTTTTGTTCTCTATTTGCTGAACTTAAGCATTTAGTGTTGAAATTTTTTTGTCATGGATAAGCTTTTTCAAAAACTTCAGCAGAAGATGCTGAAGTTATTTAGTTCATTTATAAAAACTTCAGCACGAAATAAGCTGAAGTTTTTTTGTCCTGGATAAGCTTTTTCAAAAACTTCAGCAGAAGATGCTGAAGTTATTTAGTTCATTTATAAAAACTTCAGCACGAAATAAGCTGAAGTTTTTTTGTCCTGGATAAGCTTTTTCAAAAACTTCAGCAGAAGATGCTGAAGTTATTTAGTTCATTTATAAAAACTTCAGCACGAAATAAGCTGAAGTTTTTTTGTCCTGGATAAGCTTTTTCAAAAACTTCAGCAGAAGATGCTGAAGTTATTTAGTTCATTTATAAAAACTTCAGCACGAAATAAGCTGAAGTTTTTTTGTCCTGGATAAGCTTTTTCAAAAACTTCAGCAGAAGATGCTGAAGTTATTTAGTTCATTTATAAAAACTTCAGCACGAAATAAGCTGAAGTTTTTTTGTCCTGGATAAGCTTTTTCAAAAACTTCAGCAGAGATGCTGAAGTTATTTAGTTCGTTTGTAGAAATTTCAGCTTATTTAGTACTGAAGTTTTTATAAAAAATGAAAGTTTTAAGACAATTCAAGAAAATTCAGCCTTTGATTTTGGCTTTCTGTATGACCATCTATTTGATCGTGAGGATGACGTGGATGGTCATGATGAGGAGAAAGAGAACGATGATGCTGTATTGAAGTATTTGGAAATAAGAACACATCATTCTCTTGCTAAAGAAGATGGAGGCGACCCCACAGTAGTTGCTGATGTAGATTCAGAAACCTGTGCTATTTGCCAATCTGAATATGAAGATGAAGAAAGTATAGGGAAACTTCCTAGTAGAACTGCTCCTGCAATTATGTCAATCATGTTAATTCTATTAGGAGTTGATGCTTCACTTTTGTATAAATTAATTGGACATAAAAGACTTTAATTTTTTGAGTACTACAAGAAGAAGAAAAAAAGGCGATGATTTGACATAAAAGAGAATTAAGACTTTACCAGACAAAAGGAGAAGAGCAAGAAAAGCAACTCGGTGAATAGCCAATTACTATATTTATGAATATTTGTATTACTGTATATTCGTAGCAGCACCAACAACAGGAGGAGGAAGAGGAGGGCTGAAGTTATTTAAAAAGTGGGTACAAATTAAAACTTTTTAAAAAATGGTATAGGTTAAATGGGGGCGACCAAATAAGACGCCCCGTGTAATTTTTACAATGCAATTAGAGCCGGTTCATGTAATAAAATAGCGACACCACTCGGCTATTTTTTTCTATTAGAAACTAATAATGTGAAAGGCAGTTGGTCCATTGACTTTATAATGATAATACACTTAGTATGAAATGATGTGATGTCAATTATTTCAACTTGACAATCCAATTATGCACCTCTCTTCATTGACTTGATGAATAGTCAAATCTGCACCTACTATTATGCCAAACTCATTTTCTGATCAAAATTCCTCTCCATCTTTAGACATTATCGATAGTCAACTTCCGCTTAATTTATTATATGCAAAAGTTATTTTATAATCAACCCACCTTCCCATCAATAGGCAATTGGGAGGAGCTTTAAAGGCATAAGTTTGAGGTTATTTGCAAAAGTTACGTTTGCAGTAGGCAAAATGCTCTTAATGATTTTTTGAATCCTAATCTCATTCCTCTTATTCTTCAGGATCACAAACAAGGAAAAAAGAAGAAGCCAAACCAAAGAGGTAACTTTATGCATTTCTCAATATTCTATGCTTCGCACAAAAAATTGTTGGGCTAAACCATCTCAAAGACATAGTCATTGTTTACTTTTTCTAGCCATATGTATAGATTATACATCGATTATACACGATTATAGACATACTGAACATAAATTATATATATATATTATACCTTTGCCGGCTATTTTTAGTTTAAGCGATTAAGTAGACGGCAAATCGGGTTATCTTTTAACATCATGTAATAATATCCGTTTGAGTCAAACTCATATCATTTTCTACAAAAGGCCTCATACATTAAAAGTATCCTTACACCTTACACTGTTTTAGGCCAAGCTCCCTCTGTTTTTATGTTGAAGTCATAACCCCCCATAAGGTGGGATGATCTAAAATGAAGATAACATGTATGATCCAAATTGAAATGAAAATGTAATTTTGAGATATGGAAAAAGATAGTGTACACCAACTTCCTTTTTCCATTGATGTCCAAACTCTTGATTTAGCTCTTTCACATTAGTAAATTTTAAATTTTAAAATCTTGTGATCAACCAGGAAGCTTTGTAGATAAATTTTAGTGTGTACTATTATAATTTTTAAATATTTCTTTTCATCAACGTGTAGTAACAACGAATATGAATTGAGAAAAAGAGTTTGATACAGTACCGTTGATTAAAAATTCTCTCTCTTTGTTGTTGAATTACAGTTTGAAGAAAATTACCTAATTGGAGGAATGGCAGACCATATTGAGATTGTCACGATAGATGATCAAGTTCCACTACTACTCCATCAAACTCCTCTAATTATTGATGCTGAAAAGGATGGGGTATGTGTGTGTCTCTCTCTCTCAATCCCCAATAGATCATCGAATTCTAATACTTGACAAACTCCTCTTAATGATAAGCTTCAAAGGATGAGGTCTCTCCCTCTCTGTATCTCTCTCACACACACATGCACAAAGCAATACTTAAATTCACGAGAAAGAAAAATGAGGTTTGTTTGTTGTTTTGGACGATAGAGAACGAGGTAAGAAAATGATAAATTAAAGTAAGAATAGAGATCACTTCACCATTATTAAGGGAACATATTTGGTAGCAAGGAACATATTTTCTTGGAAAATAAGGAAAACCGCTTAGACAATTTTTTTTAGAAGGTAACATATTGTATATTAATATAAAGACTACACAAAAACTGTGCAGTCACCCATAATTAAATAGGAGAGGAAAAAGACTCCTTATCCTTGATCTTCTGAGGTATTATCACTAATAGCCCGCGCCGGAAACTATTTACATCTAGTAGCAGAAAAAAGTGTATAAAATTTATATAATTTTTGTATATAACATACATAATGTATATATATACAAAAAATATACAAATTTTATATATTTTCGGCTATTATTTTTACAGCGGCTATACAGTGTCATTTTTCCAATCTAAAATATATAGACTCATGTTCTTCTAAAAGTTTTCATTTACACCAAAAGTAGAACAACAGTAGACACTTCATTTTCATCTTCTGGACATGATTATACTTGTCTTCAAAACATCTCTGGTTTCTCTCTTTTCAAATTGTCCACCAGATGCAAGTAGGGACAATCGTTCATCTCTCCTTCTGATTGGAGAAATTACCATCTCTATTCCAGCATGCAAGAACTTCAGGACTTCTTCTTAGCATAGTCCACATAATACCCCCTTAAGTTGATAAAAATTCTCCATAGTTGAGCAGTCAACCTGCAGTGTAAAAAATGATGACTAATAGTCTGCCTCCTCTCCACATAAGTAGCATTTAGAGCATAATTGATATCCTCTCTTGACTAGGTTGTCCTGTGTCAACATTGCCTCCTTTGCCAACAACCGAGTAAAGCAAGCAACTTTATGAGAAATTTTAACTTTCCAAATCAGTTTCCATGGCCAACAACCAACCTAATTCATGGAAAGGTTGAATTCCTTATAAGCTGATCTAACAGAGAACTTCTCAATTTTATTTCTTTGCCAATTTATACGGTCTTCAGAGTTTGAAATTCCTTTGAATTGTTCAATAACATTGTAGAACTCTGTTAGCCTGCCAATCTCCCAGTCATTTAATAATCTTCTGTAAATAAAATTCCACCCTTGTATATTCCATACCTCTCCAATTGTTGCTTCTTGTTGCTGATTGAGGATGTAGATGTCAGGAAACATTTGACTCAAAGATCCTTGCCCTAACTAATTATCCTTCCAAAAGGATATCTCCATCCCATTTCCTCCACTGAAATTTGTTTTGTTCATGAATTTAGGCCATAGATTCCTGATGCATTTCCATAGACTAACCCCATAAGGCCCATTCACTGATTTGGTTGTCCATTTACCATCCATACCATACTTCTCCCTAATCACCTCTTTCCATAAGGATTGTTCTTCTTCAGCAAATCTTCATAACCACTTCATCATCAAGGTTTGATTCTGAGTTCTCAAGTTCTTTATTCTCAACCCCCCTTCCTTCTTGTTGATTGTAAGAGAGTTCCATTTGACTAAATGTATTTTCTTCTTGTCACAGTTCCCTTCCCACAAGAAGTTCCTTCTTAAAGCATCTATTCTCTTCACTATATTTACGGGAATAGGAAACAAGGACATCGTGTAAGTAGGCATAGCATCCAACACAGAGTTACTCAGAGTTAATCTACCCCCCATTGATAGGTACTGACTCTTCTAGTTAGTCAACTTCTTTTCACATTTCTCTGTAACACCATTCCATATCCCTTTCGATTTGCTCTTTGCCCCCAATGGCATTCCCAGATAGCCTGTAGGCAGCTCCCCTATTTTACCTCCCAAGAATTCTAGACAAGTATTGCAGCTCACTAACAATATTAACTGGATACATAAAACTTTTGTTCCAGTTAATATGTAATCCAGATGTACCTTCAAACAAGACAAAAAATGCCATTAACAAGACAATATTGACTTACTATTTTCTGCTCACTGCTCAGTATTTGGTTACAGGTTCGAGCTGTAGAAACAGCCTCTTGCAGAAATGCAGGGTAAGGCTGCGTACAATAGACCCTTGTGGTCTGACCCTTTCCGAACCCCGCACATAGCAGGAGCTTAGTGTACCGGGCTACCCTTTGCCCTTTTTGCTCAGTATTTGATTAGTTTAATTTTTTTATTTTGAAAATTTTCTGTCTTTTTTCTGAATTAAGAAAGGGAAAATCTTCCGTCTTTAGAGTTTTGTTTTGTCTGATCGTTATATAGTGACAATTTATGTGGGGGAAAAAATGTGACTCTTTTCCACTAATTACAGATAAAAGAATGGGAGAAAGTGGATAATTTAATTGAGATTAAGGAAAGAGATGGTNCAGAAATTTTATAGCTTACGAGCAACAGTCACCAAATATAGATCCTAAATATTTCAGTGAATTTGCAGTTTTCATGGATCATCTTATCGACTCAGAAAAAGATGTCACATTGCTTCGCGTAAAAGGAATCATCGCCAACGACATAGGAGATGACAAAGAAGTGGCTAATTTATTTAATAAAATTGGGAAGGGGGTCGGTATTTCATCAGACTTCCATTACAAAGAAGTATGCGGAAAAGTACTGCAACATTGTGAACAACCATGGAACAGAATGAAGGCAAGTTTGAGGCGCAATTATTTTCATAGTCCGTGGGCAGGAGTTTCAACTGTGGCGGCCGTCATCCTCCTCTTACTCACAGTTACACAGACAGTTTTATCTTTCATAAGTGTTCTTAAGTAGTCGATTTAATTTTATCCTATGGTTGTTTGGTTTTGTTAATCTTTCCAGAATGGTTTTCCTCACTACTGTTTGTGCTATGATGTGCTTAATATTGTATCCCATCTAGTAATGTATTATAGATAGCATCTAAAGTCAGAGTCTGAAGAAGCCATCACTGACTTACATTCATGTAGTCACTGGAGACAACTTCAATTTCTAGTTCATGGGATTCTTAAATCATCGAAGTATCTTCTTCCCTTTTCTTCCTTTTTCGTCTTTTCTTGAGCCGAGCGTCTATCGAAAACAGTCTCTCTATCTCATCGGGTAGGGTAAGGTCTGGTACGCTCTACCCTCCCCAGACCCAGGGGCGGAGGCACAAACCTACCTACGGGTAACTTTTGCTCAAACAGTTTATTTGACGTTTTGAATTCATGAAATATGTATAAATATTAAATCTAGAACCCAATCATTAACACTTGAAGTCATGGTCCCAAAATTCAGAACCCTTAAGGTTGAAATCCTTACTCCGCCTCTACCTAGTCCAGACCTCTACTTGTGGGATTATACTCTGGGAAATTGTTGTTGCAATTAATCTCTGAAACTAAACACCAGCATATACTATGAGTAATCCTCCAACTTTGCAACTCATCATCAGCCGTACAAATTAAATAGAGGTGGAGTGAAAAATGAAGAACCAAACAAGATATTCATCTGAATTATAAGAGCTTAGGTAGATGATAAGCAAGCTAGTAAATGTAAATGCAACTACATGACTGACATTCAAATTTCTTCAAGAGTCAAGTGCCTGCAAGACTCTGCTTCCAATAATACATATCTTTAACTTAAAGTAGAAAATGCAAGATAAACATCAAAATCATGAATTAAGAGAAGTCTTCTTTCAACTGACTAATAAAAGTTTGCAAAGACCTAAGCTACAAGACAAATTTCTGCACTTGCTAAGTCTCTGGAACTAGGAATTTCTCGTGTCTAGCTAGTGGAATACACCATTGCTCTCCTGTGTAAGGAAGGATTGCTAGAATGATGTATGATAAGAGTATGCATCTGTTCAAACCTTAGGATTTAGTTATTGGATTCTTTTAAGATGAGCAATGATGCACAAATTTTCTGGACAAGTAGGTAAGTTTAATTGTTGCAAAATGTGCTAATCCTAAAACGAACTTAATGGTGCATGAGTCTACCATTAAATGCCAGCTGCATTTAATGAAGAACTAAAATGCCTCTATATGAGTATGCATTGATAAGTTCAGCTGCTGCCAACTACCAATTCTAGAAGCCCACCATTGTTGAAGCCACC